AGTCCCCTGCTTGAACGAGAGGTTGGACTAGAAGACCTCCAAGGTCCCTTCCAGCACTATCCTGATGGACTGATATCACAAAATGAGTGGCGGATCCTCATAAGCGCTTCCCAAAAACCCAATTTAACAGCCATTGTGCTCAAATCCAAGAACAGCCTAGCTTACCAGCAGTGGGCAAAGTGCTATTCCGAGTGCGGGCTCTTCTTACCCCGTGGGGCTAAATAAATCTCCCAATTTAATATGTGAGGTTCTCATCATCTGCTCATTTTGGGAGAAAAAAAAAAAACTGGAAGGCCAATTTAGAGTTGCCAGTGGCAGGCTTTCCAGAGTGAGAGATGATTAAATTTAGTGCAGTTACTTAAACAGGAAAACTGCAGTTGGCTTAACCAGGACAGGCTTCTTCCCACCCCAAAGCGTGTAAATTTAAAAAAAAAAACAATTTACATACATCTGATTGCCTTTCGTCTGCTAAGTGTTCTCGGAGTTGAATTGAAGAATTTCAAGTTTCACATTCAGAATAGAGCTGGAAGGGACCTTGGAGGTCTTCTAGTCCAACCCCTTGTTCAAGCAGGAGACCCTAGACCATTTCAGACAAGTGGCTGCCCAGTCTCTTCTTGAAAGCCTCCAGTGATGAAGCACCCACAACATCTGGAGGGAAGCTGCCCCACATCTTTTCCTTAAACTGGTTCTCAATTTGGTTGGGGACCTACGTATGCCCACTGTCTTGACCGGAAAACTAAGGCCTGTCCTAGACTGCTACAGTGATACTTAAGAACATAAAACGTTGCCCCCTAAAATGCAGCTAAGCCAACCTCCTCCATCCAATGCCCCTTAAAATATTCATCGACTACAGTTAGGCAATTCTAACAATTACAAAGTCCTACGATTAGGAACTACAATTGTAATCCCAACAATATTAATTCACTGGACAGGTTTGGAAAAAAAAAAGAAAATATGAAAAACACACATTGAAAGATCTGTACAAATGCATGTGACTCATTTTCCTGGCCCAGATCATAATAATTATACTCAGCTATGGCTTAAAATAATACCATCAACTCCGCTGCAAATGAACACAATTTTCCCCTTCAAAGGATGCAGCTAGTCCTTGACTTACAACAGTTCATTTAGTAACGGTTCGAAGTTACAACAGCACTGAAAAAAGTGACTTAGGACCGTTTTTTTCACACTTACGACCGTTGCAGCATTCCCGTGGTCACGTGATTAAAATTCTGACACTTGGCAATTGATTCGTATTTATGATGGTTGCATCGTCCCGGGACAGAAATTTTGGGCTCCGTTGGGGTCATAAGTCGAGGAGTACCTGGGGTCTGCCCAGCTCTGTTCCATTTCTCTAAAGACCTACCAGTTTGCAACCTGCCTGCAATTCCCTATAAATTTAGCAATTTAGCAGACTTTGTATGGGGCAACAGTGACTTCACCTTCTGCACCGTCGTAAATTTTATAGCCCAGGTATAAAAATTGAGCCGAAATACAGGACAGCCAATTCTGCATAAGCGGAAGGACAGCACATGGGATCTGGGGAAGGGGAATTTCATTCAGCAAGGTGTGAAAATGACTCCCTATTACTCAGCAGCATTTAAGGAGGAGAGAGAGAGAGAAAGAGGGAGAGGGAGGGGAGGGGAGGGGAGAGACTTCTGTGTCTGTGGTCATGACAAGGACACAGCCAGCTCGCTGCTGTGTCAGAAAAAATCCATAAATGCTTTAAACTGGGGTCATGCAAGCATTCGCAAGGGGAGTCCAGAATTTCCTGCCACTTCAAGGAAATTTTATTTCTAAAAAAGCATTTTTGAAGCAGCAAAGGCAACTAAGCGTTCAGATCAGAGGTTTTTGGGCTAGATGTTTGACACCGCCTCGCTGTCCTGTCGCGATTTTAACATTCATGGAGATAATCCCCTCTCCCTAATCCAGCTGCTTTCCAATTCTATCCTTGCCTTCTTTCTTTTTATCTCTGAATTACAGGGAGCTCCTTCCAATGTTTTGGACGTCCTTGTTACCCCCCGTCGCTAGGCATGGCAATGCACTGCACGACTGCCACATTGATTCCTCCCCAAAAATTCCGATTCTGCCTCCCTGCCACCTTCGGTGCCATCACCAGATCATGCCATTTGCCTCGGGTTTGTGACTTGACTGACCTGTGTCCGTCAACCTCTTCACTTTGTGCTTTTAACGTGCGAAGTTTCTTCCACCAACTGCCATTCTTATCTCTTTTAACCAGCTTTCTCTAGTTGCCCTCCCTATCCTTTACTAACCATTAGCTCCACCAACGAATTGATGGCTAGGCCAACGGAGCAGACTCATGGAAGGGGCCTTGGAGGTCTTCTAGTCCAACCCCCTGCTCAAGCAGGAGACCCTGTATCATTCCAGTCAAATGGTTGTCCAATCTCTTCTTTAAAAACTCCAGTAATGGAGCACCCACAACTTCTGGTGGCAAGTTGTTCCACTGGTTAATTGTCCTCACTGTTAAGAAATTCCAGGTTGCTCCTCTCCTTGATGAGTTTCTATCCATTGCTTCTTGTCCTGCCTTCTTTGGTGCTTTGGAGAATAGCTTGACTCCCTCTTCTTTGGGGAAGCCCCTGAGAGATTGGAAGACTGCTATCGTGTCTCCCCTTGTCCTTCTTTTCATTCAACTAGGCAACTGTTCTTCATGGGTTTTAGCCTCCAATCCCCTAATCCTCTTTGTTGCCCTTCTCTGCCCTCTTTCTAAATAAGACTTCTAGATTTCAACTTTTTTGTCCTCTGGAGCTCTCAGACCAGAGCAACAGTCTTTAAAATGACCTCTTGCTGCCCCTTTTTAAGGCCGTTTATTGTTTCCTTTCCTTCTTGCCCCAATTTGTGATTTTTCTCCTCTGTTGTTAACTTCGAATGGTCGCTAAAGTCAGGAACTACTTGTAATTTTTTTCTTTAAAATGCTTGGGACGCAAATCCTGTGCTTTGAAAAAGTTTGAACTATTTAAAAAATGCCAGCACAGTGATTTTTTTTTTTTTAAAGCCAATTTAAAGAAGAAATGATTTCAACTTTCCACGTGGTGGATTTATATCTGCTGCCATGAAACCCACCCACCGCTGACCAGTCACTCTGCCACGCCTGGAATTTGTATTCCACAAAACCAGTGGGACACAACCTTCACATTTTTTCCCCCCACACCCTCGCGATTTCAGTAAAATAGCCTTATTATATGTGATCGAACAAGAATGATTTGGTGTTTCTGTGCCCAATCTTGGTTGTTTTTTTTTTAAGCTTTATTTTTTTGCTCATTAGGGAGCACGACGTAAGGACAATGACTACATGGCAAGGCTAATTTAGACAAAGTCACCCGGTGTTCCCACCTTCCTTATATTGAGGGGACTGCCACAGATAAAATTACGGTGACAGGCTAGCTGACAAGAGCTCGCCCATACAAAGAAAGGGCAAATATTAGCTTTTAATTGAGATTCTTGCTGCTGCTACAGTATTTTTCTGCTGAGTTCCTCTGGGGCTCTGGGCCTTTCCATCATCAGCATCTTAGCAGCTCTGCCTCTTATGCAGCTGCTTATAAAGCAGAACGGTGTCACCGGAGAGTCAGCTGGCATTGAGATGCCAGCTGGCAGGGCACGCTGGACCCATGAAGGCCTCGTGGGGATCAGGGTGGATTGCCACAGATCCAAACTTCACCCGGGGATCCGAATTCCAGGCAGTTTTGAATGCAGGATCAAGAATCCTTCCACAAAGAAAGCTGCACAAAGCAGGCAAGCGGGATGATTTTTGGACAGGGAAAACAGAATTATTTAGAATATTTAAGAGCGGGGTATACAAGTAGCCCCTCGACGTACGACCACAATCGAGCCCAAAATTTGTGCCGCTAAGCCGAGACGGTGGGGAAGTGAGTTTCGCCCCATATGACGACTTTTCTCGCCACCGTTGTTAAGGGAGTGACTGCGGTCATTAAGTTAGTAACGCAGTTGTTAAGTCCCCCCTTGACTTTGCCTGTCAGGGGGTCGCAAAAGGGGGTCAACGTGACTCCGGGGACACTGCGACCGTCATAACTACGAGTCTGTTGCCAAGCATCTGAAATTTGATCACATGACCGTGGGGAATGGGGATGCTGCAATGGCCGTAAGAGTGAAAAATGGCTCTAATTCACTTTTCTCGGTGCTGTTGTAACTTTGAACGGTCACTAAGTGAATGGCTATAAGTCGAGGAATACACACACACAGTGCATTCAGAAAGTAAATATACTTTGTGTGTGTGTGTACACACACACACACAAACACACAAAGTGCATTCAGAAAGTATTCAGACCCCCATCACTTTTGTCAATTTTGTTATGGTGCAGCCTGATTCTACAGTTGTTGAAACTCATTTTTTTTCTCGTTAATCTACACTCAAGTTACTCCATAAGGACAAAGTGAAAACAGAAGTTTAGAAATGTCTGCAAATTTATTAAAGAGAAAAAAACCCCTGAAATATCACATTGGCATCGGGAGTCAGACTCTTCTGAATAACAAAATGGACAACAGTGAAGGGGGTTTGAATACTTTCTGAATGCACTGTATGTGCATGTATGTACACACACATATACACACCGAGTACATGTATATGTATCTCCTCTCTCTTCATCCATCATCTAACCATCTGTCAATCTCTCCCTTCCTCCTATCTACCCTACTGTACCCTATCCAGCCATCTATGGTGTATGTATGTATGTATATATGTATGTATGTATGTATGCATGCATGCATGTATCTATCTATGTATCTATCTATGTATCTATCTATGTATCTATCTATGTATCTATCTATCTATCTATCTATCTACCTACCTACCTACCTACCTAACATCTATCTACAGTCAGTGCTGGGTTTCTACTTATTAGCCCCGGTTCAGGCAAACTGGTAGTGGCGGAGACGGGAGGCTCCGCCCACCCATCTGGATGTCATCATGGTTCTGCGCACGCTCACAGTTCCGAACTGGTAGCAAAGGTAAGTGGAACCCACTACTGTCTACAGTGTGTTTACATAAATAAATAGCGGAAAGTCTGCTTTATCCGCAGTACAAATCAGCTTGTGTGTTCCAACGTGAACAAAGGGAGCCTAACAGGAGGTGTCGCTTGTACTACTGAGCTCAAGATGTGCGTAACTAGCTGCTCTTACACACCTCTCAAAAGTCTGGGGGCCTTTGATGCTTTGGGAAGATGAGAGATCGCTGTAAGTACATCCCGTTATCCTGCTCTCAACTTCCGCAACAGACCGGAGGAGGGCCTGTGATTAACCCTGGGTAATCTCCACTCCTCTCAATTTAGGAACATCTGGGAAGAAGAAGACGGAAAGTTTCCGCACAAGAGAACCGCTGTTGAAAGGATTTCAGGAACCTCCACCCCCTCAGATCCTTCAGGAGAGCTGTTTCTTCGGCATCATTTTGCAGGTTTGCAAAATCAAAGCGATAACGCCCAAGATCAAATCCAAGGGATTCCCTTTGGCACTTAAGACTTTTTTTCCTTTAAAAAGAAAAAAATCACCAGGAACATGATGCCAAATGGAAAGACCGTGTTTTAACCACTTTGCCAAATGGGATTAAATGCTGGTATTATTGGGGATGGGGCAGTGGTGAAATCCATATTTTTCCCTACCGGTTCTGTGGGCGTGGCTTGGTGGGCGTGGCAGGGGAAGGATACTGCAAAATCCCCATTCCCTCCCCACTCCTGGGGAAAGGATATTGCAAAATCTCCATTCCCACCCCACTCTGGGGCCAGCCAGAGGTGGTATTTGCCAGTTCTCCAAAAAACTACTCAAAATTTCCACTACCGGTTCTCTAAACTACTCAAAATTTTCGCTACCGGTTCTCCAGAACCTGTCAGAACCTGCTGGATTTCACCCCTGGGATGGGGTCATATGTCAGAGAGAGGCTGGCCATTGGTCAACTTAAGGGGTTGGGTATCCTGAGCCTTTATCCAGTATAGGTCACATATATTATATATATATACAATATATATAATATTCTAAAGCCAGAAAGAATCCTGAACAGAACATGGAAACCAGCATAACGATCAGCAAAATCCGTGAGAAAAATCAGTGTACAACAGATGAAATGAAAATGATTCTGATCCCAGATAACCTGCTATAGCAGTTCGTGCCCACGTTGGAGATGGATAAATGCACCTCACAAGGCGCAAAATAAATAAAACTCGGCCTACGTTCCCCGATTCAAAACAAGAGACCCTTCCTGCACTTACACAAAGTGACAAAAGCAAAACCGAGACACGTTGTGTTACTATTCCATAGTATGAGTATAATATAGTATAGAGATGCTGTTCGTTGAACCCAAATGCTTTTTTTTTTTTTACAGGTTTATGGAAGGCTCATGAGCGTCTCTCTCCTAGCGCGTGAATCACGGCGCAGTCATACCCGAGAACCGTTCCCGGTGACACCACGGTGCCACTGTTCCCCTTTCCTAGGAATGTAAACCAAACCAAATCCAGAGAGCCAGATACGTCTCTACAATTTGGAAATCTTCCCCTTAATTTCTTGGAGAGGGTCCTGCCACGACCTTAAAAACGGTGAAAATAATGTGCTAAGCGATTTGAGGAAGCACCAAAATTTTGTGACTCTCTCATTGCTCCTGGGGGGGAGTGGGGGGGGTCCAAGGTTTAATACAACTTGCAATCCCCTTCTCCCACATCTCAGGACGTAGTTGTTACTATAAATAACAGTGGATGGATCCAGTTCGTGCAAAGATAAGCTTTGTCTTCAACCGCCACTGTGTGAGCTTCTCCCAAAATAAATGGAGGATGCAGCCTCTCTCTCGTTTTCGTTGCGAACAACTGAACACAATAAAGCGCATTTTGCAAACGGATTGATCGAGGATTTTTGTCTTCGGCAAGGCACTTAGTCACATCAGTTTATGACCTTTCAAAAATAACGGATTCTTAGGAAATCTAAGATCACTGCTGTAAAGTCTGTCCAGAAGACAAAATCAGCCAGCAGCAGGAGGTCTAACTACAATCGTTTCCAAAGCTGCTTCTCTTTTAAAAAAAATGAATAAAAATGAATACGCAGGGCACAAATTCAAGGAAACCAGTTGCACTCATGTTTGTTAATGCGTTCTCTTTCATTCACTCCATTCACCATCACCACCACCCCAAAAAATATTCATTCCTCACAGAGGAAATTTACTTTTGAAAATAAGATACCTGCTAAAAATCCTGCATTTACGGGCAAAGTTTTTGCACTATTGTTTAGGTGAGTCACGCTGACTGAGATTTAAGGAAACTCATCTAGACCAAAGATACCTAGATTGGGAAGGCCACTCTTCATACTTAGAGATGCGTTGTTAAAAAATATTCTTAAATAAAAGATTATTAAGCATTAGAGCCAGGAACTGCCATGATTTTTGGAAGTTTGGGGCACAATCGGGGCCCTTATCAAATTGACACTTGTGGTAAGGTTGCACCAAAGCTACATTTTCATTCATTTCTGACATGTACAAATATCCAATATACAGATTTTAGCTGCCCCTGTGAAAGAAATAAAATGCTAGATATACCAACCAACGTCAGGAAGGAGATGCGATGTTCTGTCCCTTTTAAAATCCACAGTAAAATCATTTCCTATTATCTAAGGGACCAAATCTGCAAAATCAGCAGCGACCCGAGGGCGGTTGATCATGATTTTTTACTCCAATACGTCTACAGTTTCAACACACCAGCCAGTGAAATCACACACACAAAAATTTTCTCTAGCTACCTCATTTGTGTTCCAACGGTGTCTCTCTTTTGGTAAACTGGAACATTTTGGTAGACATTCAAGGAGCTTTTTCGGTAAAAAGATTTTTACATGACTTCCGTTGCTGTTTCCATGATCATCTGAAGAGAGGGGGAGAAAAAAAAAAAGATATATTTGTGTTTAGAAACGAGCATCAGAACCGTTTTGATATATTTCCCCCCCTCCCGCTGACTCCAAAGGTCAAATCCATATGCACACACAGAGACTTTCCTTCTACCATTTGTCATCTTAAAAATGCAATTTCTGGCATCGTCACTCCCCCCGGCCGTACACAAAATAAATGGCCATCGTGGCATGTCAATTCCTCGAAGTCAAAGGCTCGGTTTATGGACTCCAGAAATGTAAATAAATAAATAAAAATGGAAGTTTCCAACTTTACAGCTTTCCACCAATGCAGGACAGGAAAACCTCATTCCTAACAACAAATTTTAGAGAGTTGAAGTGGCAACAAAATTGTTAGGAATAAAGGATTCCTGTTTATTTTGTCTTACCGACCCGTCGAATTTCACTACGCAGAAAATTTTAGTCTTTTTACACAAAGTAGCCTTTCGAACTGCTAACCCTCTGGGTATGTACAAATACAGCTAGTCCCCAACTTACAACAGTTTGTTTAGTGACTGTTCGAAGTTATAACGGCACTTTTCACACTTATGACCGTTTGCCACATCCCCGTGGTGACGTGATCGAAATTCAGAAACTCGGCAACTGACTCGTATTTATGACAGGAGCAGCGTCTCGGCGGGGAGGGCGAGTCACATGATCCCCTTTGGTGACCTTCACAAAGGTCAACGGATTCACTTAACCACCAAGTTACTCAGTTAACAGCTGCAGTGATTCACTTAACAAGTGAAGGTCGTAAAAAGGGGACAAAACTCAACAAACGTCTCGCGTAACAGCCAGAAAGCTTGGGCTCAATCGTGGTCGTAAGTCGAGGACTTCCCGTACAATGAACACACAGGCACGTCACCCTTCCTCCTGAGCTCTGGTTTAGGACCAGCCAGGCCACAAAGCGAAACCAGCTGATTTTTTTTTTTTTTCTATGAGGCAAAACATTTTTCCTCGTTCGTCTGTCTTTCGTGCAATGTTCCGCACTACAGATCAGATTTCCATAGTTTTACGATGTTACAGTGATAGATCCCTTGTAGCAGACACAATGCGCAGGGAATGTAAACACAATGTGCCTTAACCCCATCACAACTGCTCCAGTTTCTGCCAGGCAAAAGACGACGCCTAGAGATCAGAAAAGAAGAGCTTTGTAAAGAGGAATGCGCTGGGAAGAGGATATTATTTAAAAAATAAAATAAAAATGTTGATTGAACTCAACATCCTGAATCCGTTGCTGGCAAGATATATAGAATAGAATAGAATGGGATGCGATAGGATAGGATAGAAAATGAGTGGAGTGGGATGGGATAGGATAGAAAATGAATGGAATGGAATGTGAATAGAGTAGGGTAGGGTAGGGTAGGGTAGGGTAGGGTAGGGTAGGGTAGAGTAGAATAGAGTAGAATAGAATAGAATAGAATAGAATAGAATAGAATAGAATAGAATAAGAATAGAATAGAATAAATAGAATAGAATAGAATAGAATAGAATAGAATAGAATAGAATAGAACTCTTTATTGGCCAAGTGTGGACATACAAGGAATTTGTCTTGGTGCATACGCTCTCAGTGTACATAAAAAGAGAAGATACATTTGTCAAGAATCATAAGGTACAACACTTAATGATAGTCATAGGGAAACAGCCAATATAAATTGTAAGGATACAAGCAACAAAGTCACAGTCATACAGTCATAAGTGGAAGGAGATGGGTGGTGGGAACGACGAGAAGACTAATAGTGGTGCAGACTTAGTGAATAGTTTGACACTGTTGAGGGAATTATTTGTTGAGCAGTGATGGCGTTCGGGAAAAACCTGTCCTTGTGTCTAGTTGTTCTGGTGTGCAGTGCTCTATATAGCGTCGTTTTGAGGGTCGGAGTTGAAACAGTTTATGTCCAGGATGCGAGGGGTCTGTACATATCTTTTTGACTGATATCCTGATATATCCTGATAAGGATCAAATGAAAACCTACCACAATGTGGATCGGATTTAGCAGCTTTCACTTGGGAGGCAGAAGTAAATTATTTTTACCTTGCAACAAACGTCATATTTTTCTGCTTCCTGCTTTTCTTTTTTCTTTTCAAAACAAGCGGCTGAATTGAAATATCAAACGAAGGAGAAAAATCAATAAAGAACACAATAGGATTTCGTTACACTTAATTTTGCTTTGATCTGCAGTCGAATGGAGCAAGGAGTTATTTTTTTTTTTAAATTTGGCTTGCAGCCAATTAGATGATTTCTTTTTATGTGCATAGATAGTCCACAACTTACTTGTTTGGTGACTGAAGGTACGACGACATCGAAAAAAGTGATTTATGACCATTATTCACACTTGTGACCGTTGCAGCAACCTCCTGGTCACGTGATCAAAATGTAGATGGTTTGGCGACCGATTCTTATTTATGACAGCCGCAATGTTCCGGGGTCATGAGATCAGCTTCCAACAAGCAGACTCAATGAGGAAGCCAGATTCACTTAACGACCGCATTCTCACTTAACAACCACGGCGATTCACGTAGCAACGGTGGCAAGGCAGGTTGCAAAATGGGGCAAAAACTCACTTAACTGTCTTGCTTAGCAAAAAAAAAAAGAAAAAAAAAGAAATGAAATTTTAGGGTCAGTTGTCCCAAAGGGGCTTTTTTTTCAAGAGGCGATTGGGCTTTCTGGTTTTTCTTTGAAGACGTTTCGCTTCTCATCCAAGAAGCTTCTTCAGTTCTGACCTCCCCCCACCATCCAGTTCAGAGCTGAGAAGCAAAATGTCTTCAAAGAAAAATCAGTCTACAACTGTGACCCGGATGAGGGAGAATCTCCATTAGACATTTAGGGTCAGTTATGGTCGTACACATTAGGTTTAGAAGTTGTTTCCTATTTATTGCTCCTGTACACACTTGCAGAAAAGAAAGAAAAAAACCATTTAACGTAGGGGTCTCCAACCGTGGGAACTTTAAGACGGGTGGACTTCAACTCCCAGAATTCCTCAGCCAGCGAAACTTCTCTGGCTGAGGAATTCTGGGAGTTGAAGTCCACCCGTCTTAAAGTTCCCACGGTTGGAGACCCCTGCTTTAAGGTATAGTTCCCACAGATAACCAACTCTGAAACTGCCCAACCGACGTCCATTAATTTTTACAAAAACAATGAATTTTTAATAGTGAAAATGGCCCACTAAAAAACCTGAAGTTAACGATGGGATTAAAGCTCATTGTGCCCCCCCCCCCCCCACCACTGAGCTCAGGCCTGATTAGAGCATCCTGTTCTAATCCAGAGTAGCAGCAAGTTAATTACGTAATTATAACTTTAATTCTGATTTCCCCCCACCCCCCTTCTTCTTCTTTTTCCTTTAAAAGCAGCAAGGAGAAAAGGCCTGTGTTTCTCTCTCTCTCCCTCTCTCTCTCTCTCGCTGTACAAGCAACCAAACAGTTTATTTCTCTCTCAATGGCAGCTTCACACCAGATGGGGATGAAGCAGTGTTTAGAAAATATCGCATTTGAACCCAAGAGACGGCTGATTAATCAGCTCTGCAGGAAATGCCTATTTAAGTGGGCTGCGTTTGTTTGGCCAGGAAGATAAAAACGATTTCTGTCGCAATTTTCAGTTGACGGTTCCTTCTTTTATATATATATATATACATACATACATACACACACACACACACACACACATTTTTAGTTCCTTCCCAAGTTA